AGCCAAACTAAAGTAGGTTGAGCCAAACTAAAGTAGGTTGAGCCAAACTAAATAGGTTGAGCCAAACTAAATAGGTTGAGCCAAACTAAAGTAGGTTGAGCCAAACTAAAGTAGGTTGAGCCAAACTAAAGTAGGTTGAGCCAAACTAAAGTAGGTTGAGCCAAACTAGATAGGTTGAGCCAAAATAAATAGGTTGAGCCAAACTAGATAGGTTGAGCCAAAATAAATAGGTTGAGCCAAACTAAATAGGTTGAGCCAAACTAAATAGGTTGAGTCAAACTAAATAGGTTGAGCCAAATTAAATAGGTTGAGTCAAACTAAATAGGTTGAGCCAAACTAAAGTAGGTTGAGCCAAACTAAAGTAGGTTGAGCCAAACTAAATAGGTTGAGCCAAACTAAATAGGTTGAGCCAAACTAAATAGGTTGAGCCAAACTAAAGTAGGTTGAGCCAAACTAAAGTAGGTTGAGCCAAACTAAATAGGTTGAGCCAAACTAAAGTAGGTTGGGCCAAACTAAATAGGTTGAGACAAACTAAAGTAGGTTGAGCCAAACTAAAGTAGGTTGAGCCAAACTACAGTAGGTTGAGTCAAACTAAATAGGTTGAGACGAGACAAACTAAATAGGTTGAGCCAAACTAAAGTAGGTTGAGCCAAACTAAAGTAGGTTGAGCCAAACTAAATAGGTTGAGCCAAACTAAATAGGTTGAGACAAACTAAAGTAGGTTGAGCCAAACTAAAGTAGGTTGAGCCAAACTAAAGTAGGTTGAGCTAATAATAAAGTATGTCCAGGCAAATTATATATAGTTTACTATAACATGAACTTTTATAAAAAAATGTATGTTAATAATCTGAATAATATCAAACCTTAAATTTGTTTAAAAGTGAAATAAAAATATCTGTATCAGCTTCAAAATCTTTAAAATACATCAGCAATAACTCTAGTAGCTCACACTGAAATAAAAATAACCAGAATTTGATATTGAACATGGGTTATAAACAGAGTGGGATAGCAATATATTTATAGTGTGTAGTAAAGATGGGCTTGACAAACTAGGTTAACTAATGGATTACATATAGTGTTTTAGAGAAGATAAGAAGGTGAAAGCTAGTTCTCAAATGTAATAAATCTATTTGTAATATAATCAATTTTACAATCTGTTCCATCATATACCTCATTCTTCAAGACCAAGTAAAATTACAAGGGGAAATTGAAAACATGTAATAATGGTTCAGCCACGACTGCATAGAGTGAAACCCTGAGTAACAAGATGATTTAACTTCTGTTTAAATATTTCTAACTTTCTTACTTGGACAGTGTTTAAGTATTATTTTTATTACAAATTCTCCCAACCTACCTGTTCTTTTAGATTATGATTGGCCCAGATTAAAGCTTGACTTTCAGTCTAAAAATATAAATAATAACAAAATATAAACAATAACAAAATAAACAATAGCAAAATATAAACAATAAGAAATATAAACAATAACAAAATATAAACAATAACAAAATAACAAAATATAAACAACAAAATATAAACAATAAAATATAACCAATAACAAAATATAACCAATAACAAAATATAACCAATAACAAAATATAAACAACAAAATATAACACAC